CCCCCCCAAGCTCCCTTCTCCCAACCCAGCCTCTGCCTGGAGCACTTGCACAGTCAGCTTGCGGGAGAGCAAGGAAGCAGGAAGGCCACCGGCCTTGTCTTATGGGGAGGGACCCTGAGGAGAGGCTGAACTGCAGGCACGCATAATTTACCTGTTATTCACCTTCTGGCTTTTCTTGGTTTGCATTTCATGTCTCACACTGATTAGTTCTTCTGTGAGATGCATTCCTTCTCCTCCTGGTGGTATGTCCCTCTGAGGACCTCGCAGGCTTTGAGTCTCTTCTTTTTTGGGATAGTATTATTCTCATACCCAGTTTTTGATGGCAAACTAAGTTGCAGATTTCACCTAACACTCCACAATTAAGCTTTCTCCCAGAAATATGATAACATTTTAAGAGAATCCCACATGCATATCCCTTTAATGGGCAGGGACCAGACCTATGCAGGTCTGGCATAGTCTGTGGCTGCAAGCAGGAAGAACCAGCTGCACTGTTTTGGACATAACTGCTCACCATTTCAGCCTTTCAGCTTCATCACTGAAGTGCCATGAGCAGCTTCTCCTCGTCTTCAAGAGGAATATATCTTGAAAGATATATGCCAGGGTTAGCTTGGTAAAGAGGATGGCATCTGAATCTGTTACTATTCATTTAGCTTCTCTCATGCTGTGGACTTGAGTTCCAACAGAATCTTTGAGTTGACTTAATGGGTCTGGCAGACAGCAATATGAACGGGGAAACAGAACAACAGACCCTTCACTTGTGTGTGTGCACACACACGTGCACACAGAGTCAAACCTTGTACTTTCATTTGAATACATTTTGGTGCAAAATCCTGTCCTTTCCCCAGGGCAAGCAGAGGAAGCTAATGGCAAGGTGCCCTGTAAGCAAATGCACCTCGGGCTGCCCTCGCCTAGGTTGATCAGCATGCACCATTTTCTTGTCTCCAGTTAGGCTGATGCAGAGCTTCACTAATTCAGCTTCAGTCCAGGAGCCTGTTCAGCCCCCAGCACTGCCCAGTACCCAAATTCTGGGCTTAAAGGTTTCCCAAAGGACACCCTGTCTGCCCTGGAGCAATCTCTTCTCTTGACTTACCACCAGGGGCTGCTAATGGCAAAGTAAATCTCCCCAGTCTTTTCAACCCTTAAGTTGATGCAGAACATGCAATTTGACTGAAAGCAGTGAAGTTAACCAATTATCAGGTATAAGTAACAGCTCTACTACTAGAGCTTGTGTTTCTTAGTGCTGTAGATACCCTTTGCAAATAGTTTATTTCTTTAAAAAGTATCTGTATCTTTCCTTGATAATCTGAAATAGCTTGGGCTTCAAGCACGTGGTCACCATAGAGGCACTGAGGAAAGCTTTTCCCCTACTGGATATGGTGGATCAAAGCCGGAGGCCAAAGGAGCTGGTAATTTCTTGATGCATCAATAGAATGGGTGGTCTCCTATATTACAGCTTATAGCATGGGGGGAGAAGCTGCAAAGGTTCAGAGCAGCCGGCTGCTGGGGGCCTGCTCTCGTGAGAGCCTCTCTCTAACCAAGGAGCCAGCATCTCTCTGTGCTTTCCAGTGTTGGCTCCTGCTGAAAAAAAATCTTTCTTCCTCATGCCACGCTGTGTTTCATTGCTGTTCCTTAGAGTGACTGGCAAGATAGTGTGTGTAATGTCTCCAGGTCAGAGGGACAGGAATGCAGGATCTGTGAAACACAATATGTAGGGTGGAGGTCAAAGAAAATCTGGGGGATTCAGGATGGCCTATCAGGGGCTTTGTCCTGCCTCTTTATCAGCCGTGGCAGTATCAGAGGAAGCGTTTTTATTTCTGTCTTGGAGAAGGCATTTCCATTTGTGTTACTAACTCAGCCGTTTATTTTTCTCTGGCAGCCTCCTCCAACCACTGACTTCCCCACTATAGAAGGTAAGCAGTAGCCTTTGTTTACGTGTGCCCAGCAAGCAGAAATAGCAGTGAGGCCAGCCAGCTGCGAGGGCAGCTAATATCAGCTCACCAGTATCCACAGGCAGCTTTTGGACAGGATACAGCGTGGAGGCAGCGTAGCTGCAGTTGCACAGCATGAAGCACAGGCTGCTCTCTGTACCCTGCTCCCGCACCTGGAAGTGGTGGTGGGCACAGCTCAGTGCTGTGCAAACTGGAGCCTGGCTCTCAGCTGTGCTCTGAGTGCAGCGGTATTAGCCATGGCATCCCGGCAGAGAGAACAGCCGGAAGGGTGGATGGCTCTTTTATTCCTTCTGGACAGCTGGTTTATTTCCTCTGGGAAAGCATGCGGTGTGGCAGACATGATACCTTTGCTAGTAGGACCTGTACTTGGGTGATGGGAGTTTCCAAGCATCTCTTGAATATTTCAGGGGTGATTCTGTTTGGAGAGCCGGTCAGGTGGGAGACAAGTCTGCAACTTATTATTGATGTACTCTTGAGCAACGGGAACCCTGGGGCAGAGCTGGAAGACATACCGTACCCTCATCTGCCCGTTCTTGCCTGCAACATGGATCTTCTGTGGATGGCTGAAGCCAAGATGCCCAGGTAAAATGCATGTCAGTATTTATTTTAGCCTGGTTAATACAGCTCCTCTGCAGATCTTTTCTTACACAGTACATTTCTTTAAGGTTAGAGTCAGGCAGTAGGGACATTGAAATTGTACGAGAGACATAGACTGAAGCTTTCAAGAAACAAAAGCCAGATGACTGTCTGTGTAGGAGGGCCAAACCATGCAGGACCCTGGATTAAGTGGATGACCCTCCCGCAGAGGGAAGTTTGTCACACAAGTGTCATGACTAGGGGCACTGATGACCTCCTTTCCTAAGCAGGTTTGGCCATGGCACTTTCCTTCTCTGCTTGGAGAACATCTATAAGAAGGTGACAGGACGTGAGCTCAAGTACGAGGCCTTGATTGGCAAACCCAGCACAGTCACCTACCGCTATGCCGAATACCTGATAAAGCAGCAGGCTGAGAAGCAAGGCTGGAAGTCTCCCATCCGACGCCTCTATGCAATTGGGTAAGAGACTGTTTTTTCCTACTTGCTTCCTTAGGGAGTTGCATCCTGGCTTCTTTTAAGTAAAGATCTTTATGGGGATTTGTAAAATGAGCACCAAAATCCCCAAGTCATTGCTCCTCTCCTAGAACAAAGAGTTGCTAGATTTTTGCACCCTACACTTCTAATAGTTTGAAGGGCACTGTCAGCCAAGGAGAGCTCTTACTGCAGGATGCAGAGTGAATGTAATGTGATTGGAATAAAGAAAAAGATAGTCTGCCCAGAGGCAGACCCATTAGCCCCTTTGTTAAACGCTCTCAGATCATAGGGTTTGCATTACAGTAATGGCAGAACCTGCTATGAGTGCTTTGGATGTGTCTTTTTGCCTTTGAGAAAAGGTATTTGTGAAGCCTGTGGCCTTCACCACGGCTGAACAGGGCACATCGCTGGATCCCCCATGACCACCTACAGGAATAGATACACTCACTGGCCCAGCCTGGGGGATACTCTTGACAGTGCCGAGTGTTTGTGCCCCTTCCTCTCTCAGTGCTGCCTTAGTCCCAGTCTGCCAGAGCCAGAACTTGATGTGTGCATTAGTTTCTCATTTCTGTTTCATGCTATGGCCTTGTCTAGGGATAATCCCATGTCCGATATCTATGGGGCAAACCTCTACAACAGCTACCTCAAGTCAGCTCAGCAGAACCAGGTCCAGGCTGGGGTGAAGAGGAGCCCACTGGCAGCTAGTGTCCAGACTGAGGACCAGCCCGAGCAAAGGCAGGACTGCAACATTTCCATGGAGAGCTGCGAGTCTATTCTGGTCTGCACCGGGGTTTACCGCCACAACGCCGAGGCTCCCAGTAACCCGGAGGAGTGCGTGACGGAGACTGTGTTCCACGGGCATCGGGACTTCTGCTTTGACCCCAGCCTGGTGGAGGCATCTTACGTAGTGCAGGACGTGAACGACGCAGTGCAGCTCGCTTTCAAGAAGGAAAACTGGAGCTAGGGACGAGGCAGGTGTGCTGCAAAGAACTACAGGCAGGGGGTTTGGATAGCGGAAAGGGGAGAGGGGGAGAGCAAGGAGAGACTGCGGGTGATCTTCTAGTATAGCCAAGATGAAAGAAAACTCCTTGTCTCAACACTAAACAGCCCTTGTTTGTACTGGTACTCTTCTGCAATACTGACAGCTGCCGTCAGGCTTTCAACTGTGAACCTGTGTTGCCACGATCATAAATGGAATCGTAGTGGAAATGATGAGGATTAAGGGACATTACGAGAAGGCTGTCCCAACAGTCCCAATTTTTTTCTGCCATCAGAATTCTCTCTCTTCCACTCTGTGCACAGGGATTGGGCAAGCCCACTCTCCTTGCAACATATTTGAGGATGAAGCTCTCCCCTGTGCAAAGAGCCACCGTCAGCCTACATACCATACGTGCAATGTGCCATTCATTCAGTTTGTGAGGTGAGCAGCCCAGAAGCTCTGCCATGGTGGCACTCTGCCAAGGGAAAGCTTTAACTCTTAACAAAACCCTTATAATGAGTAAGTGCCTATGGACTTTAACAAATTCTGCTTGCCTGGGGATTTGCCACTGCACCACTGTCAGTCTGAAACAAAGGCTCATTTTGTAGCCCTCCTGCAGCTAGGGAGAGGCAGGGCCCACCAAAGGAAGCTGCAGTTGCCAGAGCATTTTGCTGCAGGGCCAAGGGTAAAGCTGTGTTATTCCCTCTGTACTGTTTAGTTTTCTGTGAATACTTCTGCCTTTTGCAGCCAGCCTTAGGAGCCAGTGGATGACTCTCAATAGCCAAGGGAAGCACCCCGGTGTCTGAATTTCCAGAGGTATCGTCACCTAGAACTCAGTGTTGCAGCAATAGGCTGTGTCTATACCAACTTATCCCCAACTGTTGCCAGGAGCAGCCCCTGCTCCCAGCCTCCACGGAGGCACCCTGAGAACAGGGTCAGCTGACACGAGACTCAGCTCACCTTTGATGCTTCCTTGTATGCAGGGGTTGAAAGAGCCAGGGTGCTGCCCAGGGCCCAGCCTTGAACCCTGAGAACACAAAGACTTCTGTCCTTTGCTTCCTCCTTTCCTCTCTCCTCCCTTGCATCTCAGGGGTATTCCTATACAGTCTAATGTGTTCCCTGATGAGGTGCCCATTCCCTCCCCTTCCTGCAACACAGAGGTAGAGTCCCTCTAACATCCATTAGGTGCTGGGACCTTGCTGCCTGGCTAGTCAGAGAAAGTTCATGGCCTGTGTCTCCTTAGACAGTCCCAAAAGGTTAAGTAAACATTACTTGAGAATCACTATGTGAAACTGGCCCAGAAAGGGATTTCTAAATCATGAGCCTCATGACTTTAGAAGCACAAACCTTTGGAGCCAACACACTGAATTACATTTCTAGTTAACTTGTGCCATGTAGATATTAGAGTTATGTCCAAGGTGCCTCCCCTTCTCTCCTCCCCATTTTACCAGGCAGCTCCAAATGCAAGGTACAAAAAGCGTATTCTGCACAGAAATCTGTGTTGTTCTCAGTTAAGATCTGAGCCCGTGCACTGACATTCTGCCACAGCTGCTCTCTCTTCTTGTCCCGGTGCTGTTCTGTCCTGCTAGGAAGGTCACACTGCAGAGCGGGCTCTTCGGTTACATTATGCCAGGCTCTGTGTCCTGAGGGGACTGGGTGCCCTGTCAAACAGGCAGAGAGGTCTCTCTTCTCTCTAACAAAGCAAATTTTTCTCTATCCCTTATATTCCGAAAAGGAGCAGAAAGATACCTCTGGGTGAATTTCCTCGTATGAAATCTGCAATGGGAAGTGGTCTCTTCCACTCTCAGTGCTAGATGGGGTTCTTATCCATTGCCTCATCAGGACAAGCATCTCAGCTGCTTCTAAGAACAGCTGTGATGTGAGGAACAATCTTAAATTTTAATCTTTTGCCTTTTACAGGAAAGAAAATGAAATTATTGTTTAACCTACTTGTGCAAAACAAAGGCCTCCAGTTCCCAGAAGAATAAGTACAGGGATTGACTTGGTGTATAACATGGGGAAGCTCTTTTAGCTTTCAAATCATCTCCAAAGTCATGTGCACTGCAGACCCAGTGTGTGAGGCCTGATACGGGAGCCCTAAATCCCTTTTATCGTTAGATTCGCTCTGGCGTTCCTCAGCTTCATTTCCACAGGTGACATCCAGCAGCAGGAAGAAGACTGCTCCCTTTCTGAGCAAGGCCTGCCAACTCTGGTGATTAGCTGCTGACTTCCTTGGGATTAACAGCAAACTGCGTCGTAGGCCCCAAGGAGCCTGGCCGCTGGTGATAACTGCTGGCCTTTCCTTCCATGTGGTACATCTTACTTATCTGCAGAAATACTAAGGTTTGTGCGCCCGTGTGCGCTGCGGCCTTTGGCAGAGCTCGCTCTTGCGATAAGAGCCAGCAGCTCAGAGAGAGGGTGCTGCTGAAACGGGTCCCTGGGGGCTGCGGTGCTGCCGAAGCAGCTGTCCCGAGCGGAGCCAAGCGCCCTGGCTGCCGTTTCCACCAGCAGCAGTAGTTTTGTGGAAGGAATGCGGGGAGGGATTTGGGGAAATCACAGACTGTTTCATAATTCCTTAGCAATGCACACAGCCCACCTCAGACAGAAGCAACCTACATAGCGAGAAGGAGATAGAGCCTCCTCCGCAAAGGGGATGGTTTTGCATTTGCCCAGAGAATGAGCCAAGCACCCCTGTCTCCAGAAGAGTGATGATGAGCCAACTGACATGAATCTGCTTCAGATTCCAAATCTACTTTTAGACCCCCCCCTTTTTTTTAAAGCATGTCAGGGTTGAAACAGTGCTCTGGGAGTCTTTAAATGCATAGGAGGCACCTTAGTGATTAAAGAAGCTTCACTGTTGACTTGAAACCGCAGAAAGGGGAGAAGAAAGCTAGAAGAGTTTCCTGTCCCCTCTTCTTGCAAGTAATGCTGCTTTTGGGGCTCTCGAACTGGTTTATGCACTAATAGGTCAGAGCTTGGGCTACCCTTGGTCTGAGCAACACAGAACTCATCCTTCTGCCCCTGATCAGCTCCTTGAAGTGGTACAACACATCCAAATTACTTCCCAGGAACTGTGTAGGCACCATGAATGGAGTAGGGATTTGGGATCTTCAGATGCTGTCTGATGCTGACCTGGTTACAGAAGACCTCTACAGCAAGAAGCTCTTGCCAGATCCCCATGCCATGAGCTCAGTGGTAGAGCTCTGTGCAGGCTGCCGGCCTATCTGCAGTTCATTTGTGGGTGCCTGCTAATGCTAGTTTTCACTGAAGTCCTTTTTCTTACGTTGTTCCCCAGGTTTCACTTTAAGCTAACACGTGGCCAGAATGTAACCTTCCCTTTGTCTTGCGTATTACACAAATAGGGTGTTTTGAATACCGTGTTTCTCTGCTTTCCAGCAAGCAGACTGCTGTGCAGATTACTGAGCACCGTGAGCAGGAGAGGGGACTTTGCTCACCAGTCTCGTACTGTAACATTTGTATATGGAGCACTGCCCTGTTGCCACAATCATCTGATCTCAACAGCTCTGTTTGCCACAGATGGATGGGTCTTGGTCAAGCCCCGAGGGAGTAAGTAGTGAGGTGAAGCAAATGAGAACAGCACAGAGGAAGTGGAGGATGGATATAAATTATTTTCGAGCTGAAACAGATCTTTTGTGTCTTACAATAAGGTTTTGAAAAGGTTGACCAAGGAGGATGATTCCTTGTTCCACAGGACACAAGCAACTACTAGCCTGACATTCAGGGAGTGACATAACACTACTGTGCCCTTTCTTCCAATCCTCCTGCTGGTGTGTCTTTTTTCTCCAATTAATGGGTAATGTGGGTTTCGGATTAGATCTTGCGCACTGTAGCAGAGTGATTATTGTACAGAGAAATCACAAGCTGTCATGGTTTTAGCTTTCGTATCAAGTTCAACCCATTTCCAGAGCTGCTCCTTGGAACTAGCACATATAAAAAAAATAACAAAAGAGGATTTTTGTGAAATAAATTTTAACATGCTGTGTGTATGTATTGTGAGTATTGTCCTGGCCTTTTTCATGCCTTTGCCCTAGAAGACAACCAGGACAATTTCTGTCTTTGTTCTCTTCATCAAGCCATTCTCAGATTTTCTTGAGGGAGCCACCTGAAAGATGCCCTCCGGCAATTCTTCTGATGGGCCAAACTGTTACTCCTTGTAAACTCTGTATCTGCTATGCACAAGTAACATAAATGTAGCTTTGACTGTTTCCCCTTTGTGGGGGAACAAAAGCAACACATCACAATACTGACTCTTCACAGCCCGGACTCATTTGGGAGTGCTCCTCAGTATTATGCAGGGAAGGCATTTAGTTGTGTCCTTGCATAAGCAGTTTTCTTTTGTAAAGGCTACCTCTACGGTATGTGGAAGCCACAAACCAGATACCGCCAATTTAACCTGTTACTGCAGACAGAGAACAAGCCTAAGGGCGTATGAAAACCCTCCTTACCATTGGCTCAACAGCTGCTGTGTCAAAGCATTTGTGATCATAAAGGAAACCCAGCCTGTCTGGCAGAAGCCGTGCTCTGGTACCTTTGGAAAAGGAGAGAGATAGAGACAGATACTGGCTGACAGAAGCTCTCACATTAGAGCCAAGAACTTCCATTGATTTCAGCAAATGAAAGAGTTACCAGGTGAAAGTCTTCAGCATTAATGACCTAGAAACATCCAGCGTGCAATATTTCATTTGCATTGAAGCTAGAGATGCACAGAAACCCTTAGCCTACACGAAGGGTGCAATGAAACACTGATGAAGAGACAGCTTGAACAAGAGGGACCAAGAGCCCTGGGCAAGTGGGGCTGAGGAGCTGCAGCGCTGGGGGCACCTACCAGGCTCAGTGCTGGAAAATACTTAGTCTGTAGGTGATGATGAGTCTCCAACACAAACCAAACAATTATCTGCCTGCCCTGATACCAACGTGGGTACTTCAGGGGCATGCCCAAACCCTTCCTCTACCGAATCCAGACA